GCAGAATATTACCTTAACCACGTTTAAGTTTTTTTGTCAGTGTAAATAAATAAATTAGTTTGAATTTATTGAATGGTCTGAAGCTCGCGCGATACGCAACTTTGCCAAATGTTTTGACTCCATTTTAACGTAGTTTACTTGAGAATTTTTTGTGATTTTTAAATATTACTTTCTCAATAAATATCTCGGTAACTGATCTATTTTATTGCAAAAAAAGAAACCTGAATATTTTGAAAATCTAATTTTTAGTTTTTTTTTACTTCGTCTAATCCATGACTGATAGTATAATTTGAGAAATACTGCAAACGTCTGACTTTCTCGTAAGACTTTGAACAAATACTAACATTTAAAAATTTTATTTTTTCAAAAATTTGTTCGGTAAAGTATAATTTAAACCTCACTATTAGATAAATAAGGACTCCAACTATTAGAAAAAAATTTAATTTACTCATAATCTAATATTTTTTATTTTACATTGGCGGCGAAAGGACCTCCTTGTAAATAATTTTGAAGAATTCCATCTTTTTGATTTGAATTGAAAAATTCTTAAACTAAGAGATTTTTCTTGGTTCAAGTAAATTTTACTTGATCCAAGAATTTTTCGTCTTGATTCAAGACAATGAAACTCTTCAAAATTATTTTCTTAGTTCAAGAATTTTTCTCTTGAATCAATTTAATTTTTTTTTTCAGTGTATGTATCGTTTTGTAACCCTTTAATTGGCCCTTGAAAGCTGTTTAGTTTGTATATAAAGAAAATAAATAAATAAAATAATTAATTTTAGCGAAAAAAAATTGTTCAAAAAATTCGATATTTAGAAGCTCTAAAAAATTATAATTGCAATTTTTTTGGTCTAGTTTATTTTTTAAAAAGCTAAAAATATAATTTTAACATTGATCTATTTTAAGTGAAGCATATTTTTCACCTGAGCAGAAACGCCGCAAATTCCAACTCCGAATCCTGCGAAAAATCGCCCCAATAACATGAGCCATAAATTTTTAGCGAACCCTATCAGGAGCCAGCCAATGCACAAAGGAACAGCAGACAACTGCAAACAGCTTCGTCTACCTATTGCATCTAGAAGTGGTCCAGATATCAGGGAACCCAACGGGCTTGCCAAGCTGTGAATTGACGCTGAAAAATAATTCTATTATAGTTTTATCAGTTTACAGATTTTTTTTATTGAACTTAATTTCGTGGAAAAGATTCTTTTATTTTTTATTTAAAATAACATTTTTAGGGGATCATTTTTTAAAGATTTTTTTTAAACTTATTAATTTCTAATATTGAGAGTTAAGTAAAAAAAAAAATACCATAAAAGCAATTTGCGTTACTAAGACCACAAGGGCGTATAAAAAAATTTTTTTTTTGCTCCAATCAATGTAAAAATGTTGAAAACATTAACGTCTATGGAAAAAACAAAAAAAAAAAATTTTTTTTTTGTTATACACCCTTATGATTTTAAGAAAACATTTTTCTAATCCTGTTTTTTCGGTTCATTATCAATTATAGATCAGGGTAAGAAAAAAAATTGCAAAGGTAATAGAAATTATCACTTTACAACTTAATTTATGTCAACAAATATTTATTTAAGTGAAAAAACGAATGAAAAATTAAGAAAAAATAAATTCATAACAACGTGAAAACAGTGGTATGTCTTCAAGTTAATAAATTTAGCCTCAAAGTGTTTCTAAATTAATTTTTTTTTACTATACATGTATTTACAATTAACAAAAGTGTTTTGTAAGCCAATTTTAAAAAAGTCTTTCAAAATGAACTTTGTTCCTGAGAATGGTTATAATTCTTTAAGGGGGTATTCTGGTCTAGAAATTTGAAAAATTCGAATTATTTTCTTTTGCATATTTGCAAAGTTTAGACCCTTAAAAATATGTCCTTGAGTGGATTTTTAAAAATCCGAATTATTTTCGGAGATACCGTGGATTTTGTGACGCAGCTGCTTCTGCTTCTGCTTCTTCAATAGAAGGCAGAACAGCTCGATTAGCAGAAAGAACTTCGCAAAACATCGAGTAGGAAGTAGAAGAAGGCTCAATTTACGGATCTGGGATTCGCGATTAATCCAAAGTGAATATTAAATATTATTATGAGTTATTTTACTGAAATCGTTTCTAAAACTTTAAACGCGATTTTCTCGAAACTACTTTTTTTAAAGTGATTGACATGATATCTTAAGTTCTACCCCAAAAAATTCGAATTTTTTTTTTGCATATTTCCAAATTTTAGACCCTTAAAAATATGTCCTTGAGTGGATTTTTAAAAATCCGAATTATTTTCGGAGATACCGTGGATTTTGTGACGCAGCTGCTTCTGCTTCTGCTTCTTCAATAGAAGGCAGAACAGCTCGATTAGCAGAAAGAACTTCGCAAAACATCGAGTAGGAAGTAGAAGAAGGCTCAATTTACGAATCTGGGATTCGCGATTAATCCAAAGTGAATATTAAATATTATTATGAGTTATTTTACTGAAATCGTTTCTAAAACTTTAAACGCGATTTTCTCGAAACTACTTTTTTTAAAGTGGTTGACATGATATCTTAAGATTTACCCCACCGACTCCTTTGAAATTTTTTCTCAAATTTTTTTGTTTCATATCACTACAAGGGCTGGAATCATGTCAACCAGAGTGCACCGTTTTTTTTTGTAGCCCCCACTTCACCGCCCTGTAATTTGTCAAATTTATCATTTTTTTTTTTTTAATTTTTTTTTATATTCTTGAAATGTCAATAAACATCATATAAAAAAACGGATTATAAAAATGTTTTTCATTATTTTTTTATGTTAGTTTGAAAAATGCCTAAAATTTAGGCTTCTAGACTAGAATACCCCCTTAATACCAATTTCTTGAAGCAAGTTTGATGACTTAAATCATTTTTGTACATTAGGCACCGTCCGACAAACATCATCGGTATTATCAAAGTTTAATTTTCAACCATAGTCATAGTTTATAAATTTTTTTATTATTATCAAGTTATATTAAAAAAAAAAAAAAAAAAAAAAAAATCTTTTTTTTTTTAAATCTTAGACACAGATGATCCTGACGATGGAGATGGCATTGGACTAATATCCTGATGAATTTATTTTTTCTTAATTTTTTATTCGTTTTTTCACTTAAATAAATATTTGTTGACATAAATTAAGTTGTGAAGTGATAATTTCTATTACCTTTGCAATTTTTTTTCTTACTCTGACCTATAATTGATAATAAACCGAAAAAAACAGGATACGCCCTTATGGTTTTAGAAAAATGTTTTCTTAAAACAATAAGGGCGTACAACAAAAAAAAATTTTTCTCCCCTCCGTGCGGAAAGCGTCAATTTTCTGCTCGCTGCGCTAAACGAAAATGCCGCTTTCCGCCTCCGTCGAGGAGAAAAATAGTATTCTCACCACGGACAGGAAATAAGAAAGCCTCAGATCACATGTTTGTCGACCTCGGCTTCGCCTCGGTCAACAATTACATGTAATCTGAGACATTTCTTATTTTCCTGCCCCAGGTAAGAAAAATACTATTTTTTCGTTTTTTCCATAGATGTTAATGTTTTCAACATTTTTACATTGATTGGAGCAAAAAAAATTTTTTTATACGCCCTTATGGTTTTAGTAACGCAAATTAATTAAAGTGAAAATTGACAAATAAAATTTTGTATTTGTCAATGCAGTTAGTATTGAGTTTATGTCAATTTATTCCTGCAAAAATATGAATAGAAAATTTTTCCACGGCTGACAATAGAGATTTAATATCTGATGGATTGAAATAGCAGCAGTCACTCGAAATAAAATAATTAGTTGTATTTTTAAAAGAAAAATTGTACTAATAAAAAAAATTAAGTCAAGTCAAAAGAAAACAAAATTATTTTTAATCAATTAATGATTTTGAATTAAATAAAAAAATTTTTTAAGCAGCTTAAATTAAATTTTTTATCAGTGCGCGTAAATAAATAGCAGATAATATTTATCAATTGTTACGGGAAAGAAAAATCCGATAATATAATTATAAAATTAATAAATTTGACCTAGATGAAATAAAAGAAAAGATCATTGAGACTTATTCATTGCATAAAATATCCACACGGTCGATTGATTATGTAGCAGAAAATCTACGACGGCGACATTTGTCATCCGCAAGGCTACTAGATGTCGACATTGAGATAAAACAGCTGTTGAGTTTTATTAATTGTAAGTACTAGCTACTGCCTTCTGAGAATTGTCATCGTCATTAATATTGTCCTTTGTCAACTTGGTGTCTAGCAAATACCCCATTAAATTTATCCACGTAACGTTCATTGCTCATCCGAGTCGGAAGAAATAATTTCTCTGCTATTCAAATTGTCCTTTTCAATTACTCTAAAAATCCGGATGAACAAAAGCTCCTTACTTTTTTTCGCAACCACGCGAAATTTTATTCAGAAGAGTGTCACATGATCGTTAAATTTCTTTGCTGTAATTTCCCAAGCATGAACCAAACAATTCACTGGTAATCCCTTGTCATTAAACCTGATCCCTCGATAACCTAGACATAGACATAGACACGAGAGGTTGTTTATAACTATATTGTTGCGTTGCACCGTCTCAAGCTTCTATAGAATTACCTAAAGTTAATTACAATTTACAGAGATAAACTTAATGTCTCCTTGGAGAGATTTTACGGTAATAGTAGATGAAATTCCGTAAATCCCTTGAATTTATATTGAATGCCTTTTTTTCAAATATTCTCGATATTTTTCGCAATTATTTCTTCTTTCTTTTTTTTCGATATTTTTCGCAATTATTTCTTCGTATAAAAATTTTTTTTCTATAAAAAATCTTAAAATAAAATATAAAAATATTTTTTTATCAATATAAATATGTATTTAATCATTTTTTTTTATAATTATATGACAATTTTGACTCGGCGCTTGTGTTTTGCAACAAACTTTTTACTCGTTGCGCCAACACGCAGTCATTTTTTATCCATAAAAATTTTTTTCTATAAAAAATTGCAAAATAAAATATAAAAATTATTTAAAGCAATAAAAATTTGTATTTATTAATTTTTTCACAATTTTGACTCTGCGCTTGTGTTTTGCAACACACTCTTTGCTCGTTGCGCTGACACAGTCAAGTTTTTTCAAAAAAAAAATTTTTTTTTGTATTATTTTCGTCAATTTTGGAAAAAATATTTGAAATTTCTAATTTTGTAAAAAAAAATTCAGCTGTGCTACAAAAAATATCTTAGATGACTTTATAATAAATTAAATTTTATTTTATATGTCAAATGACATGTGTAACTGTTGACAGCAATGACCGTGAATGACTTCTAAAATAATAGACTAAAAAAATATGTAGGTCAGTTAAACAGCGCGTTTTACAAATGAATTGTGTACTGCATTTAATATGCAGCGACATGATGACACTTGATTGACTCACGCACCGTTTGTCGTATGTCGTATGTAATTGAAGGACGTACGTAGGCTATCTGTGTGTACTATGAACCTCAGTTTCGTGGTCCTTGAACTTGATGTGATGGATATCAAATAGCAACGACAATCAAATATATTTATTTTTATCGCGCTGGATTATCATCCCCTTGCGGTAGACTATCTTCAGAATTCTTTTTTCGTTAATGTAGCGGATAAATATTAATGATAATAAATTGACATTCGATAATCGATGTTTTATCTTTGTGATGAGAGTATTTAAGATTTAATCTCGAGCTAAAAGCTGTTTATAATCGACATACAGTCTCACGTTTCCGAGTTTTCAATCTGTTATCTTTTATCATCGTGTTACCGACTAGCGGAGCTTAAATTGAATAATCCTGTTTTCTCATGTATGATAATTAAATTTAACGGGACTATACTAGTCCCCGAAAGTTTATTGTAATACTATAACAGTCTGAAGGGTTCATAAACTTTTTAATAGTATTTAAATTTATTTTTAATCCTATACAAGTAATCTATATTATTAAGAGAATAAGAAAAATTTTGTTTCCAGGATAATCATAGGATAAAATAGGTATTGTTAGTGAAATTCAGTGTCATTGCAAAGGTCTTGATTTAAATTTGTGTCTTTTCAAGGTTTCATTTCATTCTCACCGATACTAAATTTATTATGATAAGTATTTAGACTGCGTTCAAAAATGCCCGATCTCTAGATACATAATTAAGTAATGACCTAGTATCTTGTGAACTATTGACATTTTTAAAGAGATAAGTTCATCCCGACATTACACTCATCGAGACCTTTCATTTGAGTACCTACATCAATTTTTTATATATTTATGTATAATACTAGCTGTTACTCGCCCGCTCCGCTAGGCGCTTTATAGAATTGCATTTTTAGATCTAGGCTTGAAATTTAATTAAAGTATTGTTTTGACTTGCACAGATTCCAAATTCTGTCGAATTGACATGCACCTTTTATCCATGTAATTATTCTAGCTAATATTCATTGTAACTTTCAATGAGCAATCATTATAACATTCCCTTGTCTTACAAAAATGAATAATAATTGATATGAAAAAAAAAAAAAAATTTGTAATGAGCATTGAAAGTTTCAGTTAAAGAAATTGCAGGGCTCACAAGTGAAGAAATATGCCTAGTATATAAACATAACCAATAGAACTAAAAAATTTATTTTAAACAAATGACAATCGAATAAGATTAATTTAGTTACAATAAAAATTCATTATTTCTAAGTAAAAAAAATATAGGTTCCGAAAAAGTAATCGACAACACATTATATACTAAAACCGCCTTCGAAACACGCTGCATCTTATGGTATAAGTATTATTCCAATCGGTTCAGTAGTTTTCGCAGTATAACCGGACAACAAAACACCCCCCTTTCCCATTTCTTTTCCCTCCCTCTTCCCCTTCCACTACAGGCCTCACAGGCCCGATACTGTTTTGATGGTTTTTATTATTTTTTAATTTTTTTTTCCCATCACATATTTACTTATTTAAATAATAGTCACTGTATAACAGGAATTTTCAAGTTTATAATATTTTTAATACAATTGTTTTTTAGAGAGACGCTTCATTTGAAGACTACTAAAATATTTAAATTCAAAAATTAGTGAGTAAGTTTTATAAGGTATTTGTTACTTAATTACGTAAAAAGACTAACAATCAAAATAAATAACCTTTTTCAAACCAAAAAAAAAAAAACCGGACAACAAAACCGGTTTATATATACATATATATATCAAAATGCATGTGACTACTCAAATGAAAGCTCTTGATGAGTATAACATCGGGATGAGCTTATAACTTTAAAAACACCCATAATTAAAAAATGACCTTGTATCTTGTGAACTATTGACATTTTTAAAGATATAAGCTCACCCCGACATTACACACATCGAGGTCTTTCCTTTGAGTACCCACATCAATTTTTCATATATTTATATATATGCATATATGAAAAATATATCAAAATGCATGTGGGTACTCAAATTAAAACTCTTAATGAGTATAACATCGGGATGAGCTTATATTTTAAAAAATGTCAATAATTAAGAAATGATCTTGTATTTCGTGAACTATTGACATTTTTACAGATATAAGTTCACCCCGACATTACACTCATCGAGACCTTTCATTTGAGTACCCACATCAATTTTTCATATATTTTATATATTTATATATATATGTATATATAAATATATCAAAATGCATGTGGGTACTCAAATGAAAGCTCTTGGTGAGAGTAACATCGAGATGAGCTTATATCTTAAAAAATGTCAATATTTAAGACAGTACAGTCTAATTTAAGAGGACCCGGTGGTCTAGCGGCCTAAAATTTAAGCTATTTTGAAAATTTTATTTCTATATGAAGGGAATGACTAATGTTTTCAAAATTTTTTTACACTTATTCTGTTACTTATCAACTACACAAAAATGAAAATCAAAACAAAAAAAATTTTTTTTTTTAAATTAGAAAAATGGCGCTGAAGTCCCCCTCTCAAAAAAAATGGACCTTACTGGTGGAAGTAGATTGATCTCTCCCTCTGATCTGAAATTAAAAAACATGACTGATTTTTAATTGGTATAAGTATAGTTATCGTGTATACTAGAATGAAAAAAAAAAAAAAATATTTGACAAAATGGCGCGTAGTTAAAAATATTTTTTGAAAACGAATTTCGGATTTTTACTTTAAACTACGCGCCATTTTGTCAAATATTTTTTTTTTTTTTTTTCATTCTAGTATACACGATAACTATACTTATACTAATTAAAAATCAGTCATGTTTTTTAATTTCAGATCAGAGGGAGAGATCAATCTACTTCCACCAGCCAGGTCCATTTTTTTTAAAGGGGGACTTCAGCGCCATTTTTCTAATTTAAAAAAAAATT